ATTGCATATACACCGTTCACAGGAGATATTTTCGGTGTTTTGATATTGTTTTGTTGATTTTTACTCGTTTCGGCTAATTGATGTGAATCTCTGTTTTCAATCTCGGTCAGTTGTTTCTGTGAGTATTTGAATTTGCACACTTCACATGTTATTCCGAACGGTGAATCGACTTTTCTATATTCTTCTTGGCACCTTTCGAATCACTCTGACTTTGATTTTCTTCTTGTGTCACTTTTTGATTTTTTTTCTTGGCACCTTTCGAATCACTTTGACTTTGCTTTTCTTTGTTGCCTTTAGATTGACTTGCTTTGGGTGCACTTTTCCTCGTCGATTTTTTCACCAGCTTCTTTTTTCGTGGAGATTCGCTTTCTGACGGAATATATTCTTCGTCTTCATCGGTTTGAAATTCGTCGGTTTCGGATTTGTCATCAAATTCTATGTTATCCCCATCCATTGTGAAATCTACTGATTTCAATTGCTCAACGACTTTGCAGAACGATATTATAGAACTGTCCACTACGATTGACAATGCCCGAATGAATATTGAATTTACTTGCCCCTAACACATGCACCATGCGGTGACAAATCGTTGAATAAATTCGCTGTATCGTGATACAGTTTTAAGAAATGTGCGGCATATCGATTCCAAATAATGAGCCGAAAATGTTGATGCTGACTCTGATTTTTATGCTCGTTTTATTCATTTCATTCTCTTACTTCGTGCTCTATATATTCATTCGAGTGACGAATCGTGAAAATAAACAACACAGAGCCTAAAAAAACACAGTCAGCAACAAACATTAGAAGCGCATAAAAGCGCTGCGAATGAAATATTTAATTTCTCCGAAATAGTTTATAAACATTTTGTCAAAGGCGTCAGACTGACGCTATCAGTACAATTGAGATGCATGCAGCAAGAGAGCAACGTCAGCCGAGTGTGAGAATGAGAGCAACCGATATTTTGTTCGTGAATTAGTCATGCACATAAAATCGCCCGAAGCAAAGCCGGTACAACACGTTGTTCCATATATGCAGTGCAAATGTATGTGATTGTATATTGGTCGCCGCGATAATAGAAGCAGCAATGAATCCGCGCATTGTGTGAGTGCTGAGCGCACACTTCGTATGTTTACAATTTGTTTGCCAATCAAAACAAGAAATGAGTATGAAACGAGAGAAAGAACGTTGAGAATATGAACAAAACACACAATTCCAAAGAGATTTCTGTAGTTTTTTTGGTCTCTTATTTGACCTGGTGACTTTTTCAAATGATTCTTTTCAAAATCCATCGATTGATTTCGAATGTGTCTCCACATTGGTACGAAACTTTTTTTTTTCACGGTCGTGAAATTTTTTTCGCGACAAATTTCACCGTTTTTTTCACCTGGCGAAAAAAATTTCGCCATGATGAAAAATTTCACCGGTGAAAATAGTACACAGTTCGAAATTTCACCACCAAAAAATTTCACGAACTATTTCACCGGTGAAAAAATGATGCAAATTTGTATGGATTTCACGACCGTTTTCATTTCACGGGGAACTGTGTACTTAGCTTAACATAGAAAATTTGCGGTCGAACGCGTTCGAAGACTACGGTCAAGCACTGAGTAAAAATAGGCCCCTGATTAATGCTGTAACAAATTAAATTTTATTAAATGAAATACTATTAACCAATTTTTTCTATATTTGAATAATTTGCAGTTGTTGGATGCATGTATCAAAAACTGTGGTCGGACATTTCACTTAGAAGTCGCATCCAGAGAATTTGAAACGGAATTTCAGCGCCTAATGACGAAGGTACATACATCGGTAGCACAGAAAATGCGGATCTCGTTGAAAAAATGGGCTGAAAATGAATTCAAAACTGATCATGTACTTAATTTGATACCCTCATTGTATTTAAAATTGAGAAGTGATGGAAATGATTTCAACGACACTTCCACCGAAGTCCCACAATCACAATCTAAGGTTTGTAAAGACCCAAATGTTGTGTCAAGTCAGCAAGAAGAAGACGACATTGCTAAAGCTATCGAACTCTCACTTCGAGACAAAAATGATGATACTGCTGTAAAGTCTCAATCACTTTACCCTGCGATGAATTTGAAAAGTCCTTCACCAAAAACCCAAAGAGATGGTAGAAAAGTCCGAGCTTTGTATGATTTCGAGGCAGCTGAAGATAATGAGCTAACATTTTATTCTGGCGAAATTATTTATGTTTTGGATGACTCCGATTCAAATTGGTGGACCGGTCTTAACGACCGCGGTGAAGGTTTGTTCCCCTCAAACTTTGTAACAGCTGATTTGAATGCAGAAATTGTTGCGAATTGTCATAATACCAAAAATGCGAATAAATTGGACGAAAAAGAAACACATCATCAAGAACAACAACAACAACAACAACCAGAAGAGGTCCAAATCTCGATAGATGAAATGAAAATTGACCGTTTGTTACATTTGCTCCATGACGCAAATCCCGAAGATCCTTCACAGGTACCAATTGTACTACAAATTGTAAAACTGCAACAATTTCCGTCCGTCCGTCCGAAACCAGTCGGTTTCTCCTCCATTTTCGTTCGGACTGACAATTTCCGGACGGGCGGACGAAATTTTGTCCGTTTGACACCTTTAACAGGGGGATTCAAAGTTTGGAGACTCGGTTTTTCTGGAGGACCGAAAATTACACCCTAGGTATACCGTCTAGCCTCCGCGGCTTTTCACGGTTTCCGCGGATTTGATAATAGATAATGACTTGGTGTCTTCGGCCAAGTTGTAGTACTCGCGGTCCTCTATAACATTTATCTCTCATCTCTTCAGTTTCGCGCAAATCGCGCACTTGAAAAAGCAAATGTTATATAGAACTTTTTTTCTTATCATTTTTCGCGCTTTTCGCGGAACTGATAAGAGATAAGAGATAACTGTCTTCAGCAATGTTACAGAAGATCTCAAGTACTACAACTTTGCTGAAGACGACAAGTTGTTAACTGTCATCAGTTCCGCGGGAACCGTGAAAAACCGCGAAAATGAACATACATCCTTTTAACGGTCAAAATTTAACCACTACACCGTGTAACAAATTTCAACTTTTTTTTCTGCACATGAGAAACT